GCAGCATCTGCTGATTTGTGTCGATACAGTCAAAGCCAGGTAAAGCCCTTGTGCTTTGGAGGCAGGCAAATCTAACATTTCAAAGTGACAAAGTGAAGCATATCCCTTTGATTACATGAAAATTAAATGTTTGTTTTTCCTTTTTTCCTCTTTATTCTTAGTTGAAAAAAGCTTCTGAAATTTGACCAAGCTTCATAAAAGTTTCTGTAGAGTTCAGGTTGAATTTTTGATTACTGTCTTATAATAAATAATCACTGTGCTCCAGTACAGTAAAGGGAATTCATTCAGTGGTATGTAAATTACCTACATTTTGCATATGTTGAATATTTAGGCAGAAGTATATCAAAATTTGATCATCATTAAATAGAAATATATAGCTTAATATTTAACTTCTAGATATTAGTGAAGTTTGAAAAGTCATCATTCTCATCTGTGTAGACAAAAAATTTGCCACAAACTTTGACAGAATCTCTTGTGAAAAATACTGTTAATCTATATATTTATAAGCAAGGATTCACACAAAACATTGTGCTAAATAGCTTATCTCAAGAACTAGGTGCTACAAGCAAGTCCTCACCCTTGAAAACAAAATATTGTTTCCCCACAGAAAACACATTTTTCATTCTCAAAAGTTTTGTGGAAGCAGCACAGTGTCACACATTTGTAGGATTTTGACACTCAGTCCAAACTTACATTTTTAAACAGACTGTCCGTATGATTTACCAAGGTATTGAGATTGCTGCAGGTTTCAGAAAGCAAGGCAAAGTCAGACATACATCCTGAGAAAATATTCATGCTCCGTCACTCATTGCATTTCTGTAACAGGTTGGTAATAGCAATGTTTCTCCATTCAGATACTAGTTTATTCAAAATGGCAGTGGAGACTTCCATTAATCCTTGCTAAGGAAATCACCGAAAAAGTTACAAAGGCATATCGATTTTTAACTTAAGTGGAGAAATATACACAATGTTTCTCCTCATTGCCTTTGTAAAAATAATTGATGGATACACCTATAATAAAGAAAACCAGGCATGCATTGAATTTCTTTTCTTACCAGTATGTCTTTTTTGAATTATAAATCACTTTAGTGGAGGGAGGAAAAAATTGCCCAGATGTTGCATGCTGGCTGCTTATAGAATTAACATTTTGTTTTCATGTTTCTTTCCTAAATGGTTTTACTAATGAAATTAATTGGATTCAATTTATTCAATTTCATTGAGCAAAAATTGCAAACATAAAATTCACATTTAACATATTGTCCACCACAAAACAATCTCTTGGTAACAGAATAGATAGAAACAGAAGCAATGCATCATTTAACTAACTTATCAGCCTGATAGTTCTGTTCAATTTCCAGCTGTAATCTCATGAAGTTTAGCTGCAAATGCCACTTTCTTCCAGTTAGTATTCCTTCCTAATCCAGTTGGTAGAAGCATATGGTCAGTGCCCATGTTCTTATGCTTGATTTCTCCTGCAATTGCACCAATGTCAATCAATAACTGATGAAGATATTTTGGTGCCTGGGAGAAGAGAGTCTGGCTGTCAGCACCACAAAAGAGCACAAAAGCTTCAACATGGCATCATACCAACCTTGGGACCAACCGTTCCGCTTCCCTGTGGCCCCGGGGGCCCAGGATAGCCTCTCATTCCACGGTCTCCCTGAAAATAGTCACAGAAATGTCAGTAATTTATCACCTATTAACTGTGACATCTTTCATCCACTTACAAAGCAGTCAGTCAAACTACTGAGTTTAAAAAACAAAACAAACGTTACATACATAAACAGTTGCTTTATAGATAGATAAAAAAAAGCCCCAAATGCAGGCACCCACGTTATTTAAGCTCTAGGTGAAGAACATTATTCCCCAAGCAAAGGTCCACGTGATCAAAATCACCAACAGTTAGGACTCTAATTTGCAAACTTATCAGCTACAGAAGAAGAAAAGCAAACTCATTTGGAAACAACACCATTTTTCCATCACATTCTGCAGGGGCTTACCAGGATGGACAGGGAGCTTACTAGTGGGACACAACAGTGATCATGCCCTTTACTGATACTGTGCTTGTTCTGAAACTAGAGACACTTAATTTCCAGTACTGTCAAACTAATGTGTTTATGAAAACAGTATGAATTTTAACAGCATTGATATAGAAGAACAAAAAGAACAGCCCTTTGTTTTCCTAAAAAGCCTTAATGCATATATGTTTAGCTTAATTCCTTAAGGAAATGAGGCTTAAGTGATACTCTGCCTGTGTTTCTGCTTGTCTGTGTCAGTCCTCTTTTTTCTCCCGGTATATTTTGAACTCATCAGTTGATTTCAGCCAAATTCATCAGAAATGTAGAGGCCTTGAGCATATTCAACAGTTTTGGTGATAACTGGAGACCGGGTAAAGGAGAGAGATTCAATTTATGCTTTTAGTGGGGAAAAAAACCCAGAGGGGGCTCATCCCTTAACCAGCAGGCAGACAGAAGGCAGCAGCTGGCTGGCCAGGAGCAATCCGGGTAACGCTGAGCCCGGTGATGCCCCTCGTGCTGCAGACAAGCCCAGCGAAGGAGATGGGAGTCAGGGGACATTACTGGTAGAGGGAAGGCACGGGGACATAAGAGGCAGTTGTGTTTTCCTCAGTCCGTAATTGTACAAATGAGGGAATAGGCACGCATTCAGCACATGGTCACTAGAAAACTCCCATCAGTTTGAAAAGTAAAAAAGAAATCTATAACTGCTAAGTTCTAGATGCAGAAAATTCTGAATCAGGTTTACCAAATGTCCCTAAACCTAAGCCTGTGCAGGCCAAGTGCAAAAGAAAGAAATGTTCTGATAAGCTATTAGTCATCCCATATATTAACAATAGAGCCAAGAAGAAATGGTATTTCTTGACAAAATAAAAAATTCCATTATAAAAACTCTTCATTGTACTTGTTTTTGCACTCGGAAAAGCAGTAGAAATGGCTGTGCCTGCAGAGGGAGCATTCTAACTAGGAGAGAGGCGCAAGGATGAATCGCACGAATCACAGATGACGCTTGAGTTGTGGTAGGTGAAAAGAAACAACATATCAAACCAATTAAAAAGGAAGGAAACAAAAGTACAGAATCTTTTACTGACTTCCTTTACTTTCCGGCAGTCATTATAACCACTGCTTTTAGGTGAAATGCCCAAGGTTCAATCTCTAGCGAGAGATCACTCCACTCTGTGTTTTTTATACATGGCTATGATACTCTCATGCTAAGTGCTGACATATGTGCTATTTATGTAAATGTATTAGGACCCAAACTATACTCAGGTTTGATGGATTTGGAGAGGTGGGAACTCTGAATCCAAAGGCTGAGGCTTAGACTGAGCTTATAATGCTTTCCTTCTTGACGTAACATTTGGCTTCTGAATTTATTTTCAATTCCTCTTTCTTCCAAAGCGCTGGAGACTGGTCAATTTGAGTCTGGACATAGGTATGGTACATGGATGCTCTTAGCTTTAAATTGGTGGGTCAAGCTGATTGGGTTAAACTGATTGCTATGTTCAGTCGGGAGGAAATTTCTCCCTCAGATTTGATCAGAGAGGGGAGTTTGTTGTTTTCATCTAGTCTGGTTTGGGAAAGGGAACTAAAGAGAGAGCTACTCTCTTTAGCAGTGTTCTTCTTCTTCAGATGACCTAAGGCTTTTATATCACACCTTCCCTGCTAATGCAAAGAGCCAAGATATTGGCAATGCCCTTGAGCTTTTTGCCTTTTTCCCCCCAAATTATAGCTTTAAACTCTTAAAGATTACAATTTTAAGTACTTAAAGATTGTAGCACTTAAGTCTGGTACATGGTGCTGGGAAATGCCCCTCTGCAGTGGGATGAATGGTAGATATTCCTGATCTTTTAAAACATGCCCGGTTTCTCAATTCCTCCTGCAATGCATTTTCTTACAATTAGCTTGAGATTGTCATGTTGCTAGGAAATACTGAGAGTCTAGGCAAATGTAGTCACCTTCCTATTCAGTACCATCTATTATCAAAGGAATAATTATTGGTCCTCAGTGTCCCCACAAACCATAATACAGCCTTAAGCTGTTTGTAGGAGAACTCTTCATGAGTAGAAGTTGGACAGAGCAGCCAAAGCTTTCCCTGCCCAAGCCTCCCTCTGAAACCTGCCAGAGGTGCCAGAGCTAAGAGGTGGGTATAGAGATAAGACTTTGCATTGTAAGCTTTTTTTAGGAGATCCTGGGCTGCTGTGGCCTGTGAAACAGCCTGTAAGCTGCTGTGATGGAAGCTGAATGGGAGGTTACCAAACAAGTAAATGATTCCTTATGGTCCAGTATCCAATATACCTACAACCTGCTCTTAGACCAGCCGTGACCAAAAAGAGCGTAAGGGTGACTTGAAGTCATCTGCCTCTTCCTCCCATGGGTAACACATTCTTACACAGGGTCGTTGCAGGTGAAGGATCGAATTTTAGCCTCACATGCTTAGTTAATACCAGATGTCCCACTGAAAAGCTCTTTTGTAGAGCTTTATAGTAATCCTCAAAGTTTCTGTACTTCTTGACTTAGAGAAAAAGACTTTTATTTTGCTTTATGGGTTGCGAAGTGGAGCAGTTCTTTTTTCTAAGGTGTGACACTAAACTGTCCTCCAGGGAATTAATTTCAAGAAGGATTAGTACGGTTCTTTGATGAGATCTAATTTATTTCCTGTATTGTGCTTGTAGACAAGCTTGTCACCATCAGCAAAACAGTGAACTAGAAAAACACGACTGAAACAAGAAATAAAGAGTTGAGTCAAAACAGTGTAAAGTATGGGATTTCAATGCCTATTCCTTACCATTTGTTCAAGAAAATTCATTAAATGACCTAATGGTCACCTGAAAAATAAATCGTGGCTTCTAAATATATACACCTCATTTACTGTAAAGCATGTATATTTGACATTGAAACTTACAACAGAAACTGCAATACTCTCTTTAGTGAGAGCTAGTGGACATAACGGTATTTGTAAGAACATATTAAAAAAAAGACATTGCATCTCTACTTTCCACATTTTAGTTTAAATAGACAGGGCCCAAGCTGCAAAAAAAAAAGTTATTTATATTGCAACTGGATCCATCCCAAATGTTCATGCACTAGGGACTGTGCTAGGGGTTTTAATAATCCTTCTGCTATCCAGTTACTGAGAATGAGGCTTGCTTTATTTCTAGTGCTGGGCTCTTGCTTTTGAATGTCTGTAACCCACCTCCTAGTTGGCAACAGTGCTTTTAAATAAAATTTTTTATTATATTCTGACATTATGTGCTTCTGTTTTAATGCTACAGAAAATAGGGTGGTGCCAGGATTGAATGCATCCCACATGTTCCAATTTTGTTTTCATGTGAATTTGACCTCTGATACATAAAATTCCTATCTAGCAGTATGCACATATGTGAGCCATTTCTGAAAGTGGGGAGAACAGAGCTCTGATTCAGCTGAGTGGAACATTCCTATATAATGATACTCAAAGGAATTTCAAATTAACTAGTGTGTAAATTTATGAGTCTCTTTTATCAAATAAATGTTCTTTTTTATATGCAGAGATTGTTGCTGTTCTTCTTATATTCATTTTTTTATGTGGAAAGGATGAGAGGTAGCCAGTGCACTTATATTTTATTTGAAAAAAACCAGAAGATTGTCCATGTTATGAACTAGTTCTGGGGGAATTCTTGCAATTCAAGTGAATTGTTTTTCCTTGTGGCACCTTTTGCTGCCAGGAACTCAGCAGCATTCAAAACTTTGTGTAAGCAAACAGGAGCAAAACATCAGGAGGGAGAAGAGATGTTTATATACTTTGTTTCTTTTTTTCCAGTGTACTCTACACCATGTCTAGTGTGGATGCACAGAACTACATCACAGATGTGACTATCTGTTTGGATAATGCATGCTTTGGTGCAGCAGCCACACACTGCAAAAGCTACAGCTGCTCACCATTTATAGAAGCAATATGCATTTTCCCCCATAGGAGTAGTGCACCAATCTAGGTGCATCATAAAAAAGAAACTTACCTATTTTAAAGTAAAAAATACAAATTAAATTTTTATCGGATGTTTTTAACTCTTGATTTTTTTAAATTTTCTGATGGAGACTGTTAGATAAGCACTACTCTGAGCAACCAGATTTGATGGGCAATATCACACTGCAACACAATCAAACCTGTAGATCCACGCAGAACTTTTCATACAAAATTTGATGTGAGTGTGATTTGCCCTAATTGTGTTGTGTTACTTGCAAAGACAGCTACTCTACAAAGTTCTTTGTAATACAACTCCTCCTTGAACAAGATGTCACTTCTCCATAACCCATGGATATGGTGCATTCTGAATCTACCCCATGACTGGTTATTAGGAGCAGAAACCTCTGCTTGATAGGCAGCTTCTAACTCTACGTGTCCATCAACAGATAGTGCTACAGGCCCAATAGCAGTGAATTTGCAGCCTGATGTTTACACTGTATGCAATGTGAGGAGACCTGCCTGGTCGGCTCCTGTGGACTGATCGCCCTCTGGGGATAGAAGTACATTAAGAGCACTTCCAGAGCAGATCATCTAGTTTAGCTTCATCTGAACGAAATCCATTTCCTGGGTTGTGGGACCGCTCAGACCTCTTTTTCATCCAGAACCCAAAGCGCAGTAAATGGGTCTACCGGGAGATT